TAAATTATTGGTTAAAAAAGTAAATTGGACGCCCACACTGTTCTCGCATTTTTGTAAATAACATGCATTCTCGTTTACACTCCCGCATATATATACATACATACATATATATTATGGTTGAATTTCGGTGAGAAGAAAAAGTTATAGTAAGAAATGTAAGAAGAGATCTACGCCATTTGATAAAATCCTAATTAAATGTCAACAATAATCTTATCCACTTTCTAGTTTCACCTATTAACTTTCGTATTTTTTTTTGGAAGAATCAATATTCATACAAGAAACAACATTATTAACTTTAAATAAAATCAAATTTTCACCTATGAATTTTAAACATAAATCATTGCTTCACTTGTAAACTTTTAAAAAATCATTCTTTTACCTATGAACTTTCTAGTTCCACCTGTAAATTTTGCTTAAAAAATCAAAACAACGAAGTTTATAGATGAAACCACACTATAAAATTTAAACACACAACATATAAAACATGATTATCTTCCAAAAATAAAACATGATTGTCTTACAAAAAATAAAAACAATCTGTTCCAAAATTGCCCTCCATTTAATTCAATTTTATTTTTTCCTTTTTCATCATATTATAACCTCTTATTTAATTATAATCATTGATACAAAGTAAGCGACTTAAATAAATTTATAAAGTTAATACTATTTGTTTTTATATTGTTATTCAATGAATCAGTGATCTTGAACAATTTGAAAATTAGGTTATATACCAAAAACTAAAATTAAGACTATAAAAGGTTAAGAAAATTAAATATCACCTTACAAAAAACGATGCATTTGGTTGTGGCATGCGACAGTCTTAACATAATGTCGAATACGAACCTTGAGCCATAACACACCTCAAAAGTTGTCATAAAAAAACCTTTTAGAACACTGATAGAAACAAATAATCATTGATTTATTGCCGAAATTTACAATCTATAGGGTACACAAAGTGGAGATAGAAGAACATTAGACAAGTCCAGCACAGTATTAAACTTCAGACTTTCATCGACTGATGATTTTTCTGCCATTAATTTTTAATAATTAAAAAAATCGATCTTTAAAAAAATTCAAGGAATTAAAAGTTAGTGGAAGATTTCCGATGGATTGAAAGATCCGCTATTAATCTGTTGCAAAATTTAAAAATCATTTTTATTTTCTTTTTATAATTAAAAATTAGATTTAGATTTTCCGATGGATCAGTAACGGATACTCTAATCTGCCACAAATCTGTTACTAACTTTTAATAATTAGAATATTGATTTTTTTAATTTTTTAATTTTTTTAAAGAAAGCTAAAAAGTTTATGGTGGATTGAAGGATTCGTGGATGATTCAGATTTGGAATTTGTTTTAGAATTTTTTAACTTTAACAATGGATTTTTAGTTAAAATTCCATTTATGGTTATTTTTTTAGTTTTATTTATCGGTAAATATTTATTTTCATTTATGGTTATTTTTTTAGTTTTTTAGTTTTTTTTTATTTATCGGTAAATATTTATTTTCATGTTAAAGACCTTCCAGCCTAGTGGTAAAGGCTTGGGCATGACATAGTCATGAACCCAAATTCGAGCCCTGGGAAGGGAAGTGTTGGCGACATTTAAGTGGGACCATGTTTAGCCTCCAAAATTGCTGGGGATTAGTCGGGCTTTGGCCCGGACACCGTTACAAAAAAAAAAAGAATTATTTTCATTTTGTTTACACGTTTCGTATTTATATATGTAATATACTTATATACACACTATATACATATATCAGTTACCAACCAGAAAGAAATCGATAGTCAATTTCAAGTATGAATTTGACGGAGTATTTACAAGGTTAAGATCATATTTCTATATTGATATAACAATTAATTATAAATTTATTGGCAACTAGTTAATGAATTCGAGTTTATTGCTAGGAACATTGAGACATAATGGTGACTGCAAGGGCATCAATTTTGCAACAATTGTTGCTTCGATCGAGATGTATATGGATTGGATTGGTCAGTTTAAAGACACTTGAACAACATAATCGACTAGTACAATTTGAAAAATCTCAACCTGTTAAAAAATATTTAAAGAATAACCCAACGTAATGGGTAGGTCGAGTTGTGACATCATTAACCATTACTGCTGTTTAATTGACATTTTATGCTGCATGGGGAACAAAGAAAAATCAAGAGATATCTAGTTATTTGTGACGATCATAGAGATCAAAGGCAACACTAAGAACATTGCTAACAGAAGATGTTTATATCATATAAAAAGGTATCAGGTTTATTGGAATGAGTTGGGTTCGAATATTCCAACACAATACCTACCATTTGAAATTCTCACTACTCGATCAGGCATCGAATGATGTCGGGCTAGATAGGCCAGGTTCATCGTGTTTTTGTGCACCATTGGCATTGATGGTCTTGACTTCATCAATGTGCAAATACCTTTATGGGTTAAATTTGTATAAATTAAATGGTCCATGGGAGAAGAAACATTTAATTGCAAATCGAATTATGAATGAAAAGTCATGAAATCATAATTTTAATCGAGTATTAAAAGAGTGGATCACAACCGAGTTGTGAGGTAGGTTCTAGTTTAAGAAGAAACTGTTATGTTTCTTAGAGACCCAGAAAGAGAGTTCATGGAGACTCAGGAGGCTAGTAGACTGGAGTCGGAATATGTGCTAGCATAGATGAGAAGAAGGGAGCTAGAGAGGTAGAGGGTAAAGTATACTCTTAGTGAGGGTAGTTAGGTTACATTAATCCAAAGTTAGACTAGAGGGGTGTAGTTCCTTTACATTGATTATCTTGTCCGTGTACCTACTTTATTTGTATGTTATTGTTTACTCATAACTACTTTTACAAAATTTAACTTATATGTCCTTTAGGGTGCGTTTGGTACAGACAGAACAGAACATGACAGAACAGGATATGACAAGACAGAACATGACAGGACAGTTGTTCAGCGTTTGGTAAGACATGATATGATTAGACAGAACTGGTTAAAATGACCAATTTATTCTCAGTGAGCTGTTTAGTGTTTTTCCCACTAAATATTAATATAAATGTTAACAAATACGGTGTGCAAAATATAACTTACATCAAACCACTACTACTTGCAAAAATACATTTGCAAAAATACATGATTTCATAATCAACTAATGATATATGAAAAATGTAAATATAATATATGCATTAAGAATTCATTATCGAAGCAAATTTATATGCATTCCATACTAAGAAAAAAAACTACTACCAACAAGCGCACAATCAATTAAAATGAGTTAAATATCAAATAGTAAATAAAATATAAGCATCAAGAAAACAATTTGGCTAGTGATCCCATATAGTATCATCACATTCACAAAACTTGGTTTCCAGAAAACAAAAGAATTCATCTATCACCTGTACAATCACTCATGTAAGATCAAAATCGAATATTTACTACTCTGATCAAAGGAAAACATACAAAACTCATCGAAAACAACAAATTGCATGCGTGAACCTTACGCAATATGTTTAACGGTGAAAAAAATCAAGAAAACAATTTATGTAATTTATTAAAATATAATAGAATAATTATTTATTTTAACAAAATATATCATTTGAAGTTTTCGTCAAAACAATTAAAATGACACCAAATAAAAAGTTTATGTAGTTTTCTATTTTTATTTTTATCGCTTTTCTACATTATTTTTTTATTATTAATATATAATAAATTACATAAATTAAATTAATAAAAATATAGAAACCATATAAAAATAATATTTTGAAGACAGTAAAATAGAAGTTTAAGAAACATAAAATACAATAAATAAAATTTAAAGAATGAATAAAATGTAAAAGAGAGACCTATTTGATGTTTTAGAAGAGAATTAAGTTTTATTTTGAGGATATATTGGTAAAATATAAGTCTGTTCCACCTTGTTCCACCCTGTTCTATGGGGTAGGGGTGGAATAGGCTTGTTCCACTTTGTTTCATTATGTTCCTGTTTGTTCCACATAAAGTTCATGCCAAACATGGGACAAAGATCCTTGTCCTGTTCTGTCCTATCTCTGTCCAGTGTACCAAACGTACCCTTATTTCACACATTTTCACAACCTGATGGTTTTCATGAAACAATCTTTCTACAAGTTTAATTGACATTTCATTGTATCTTGGAGTGGCATGGTGGAATGGAGAGGTTATCATGAGATTATGAGAGCATCTCTAACACCTTCTCCAAATTGGAGAAAGTAGGAAAGAGAAGGGTCTTTTCTTTAATCATGGAGAAGACCTTAAAAATGATTATCAAGTGAGACCAACTTAACAATAGGAGACTTTGGAAATAAATATTTAGAAAGTGAAATAATATTTTAATAGATAAATGAAATATTTTAATATTATGATCAATGTTGGATTTGTGAAAATGAAAAATCTGTTAGAGATGAATGTAATTCTTGTCGAAGATTTTGCCTTTTTATTTTAAAGAAATTTTAAAGAATATATTGGTAGTAGTTTATCTTAAAATTTCTAGAAAACTTTGTATGTAGTAGTTAGAGAAAAAGAGAATTTAAGTGCATGATAACACTTGTTGGCATGACAAAAATGAAGTTGTTGAGCATGTTCTTTGTAATATTACCGCGTATGAAAATGGGTATATTTATATTATACTATGCACACCAAGTATGAGAGTTACACCCTTTCTCTTTCTCTTTTAATTTGAAAACACGAAAAAAGAATAAAAACTAAAACATGATATTTATTCATCCTTTCTTTCTAACTCGGGGACACGAAGAAGAAAATAATATCCGTTTTCGTCGTAAATTGTAATAACGAAATTTGATCGATAAAATAAAAGTAATGCAGAAAGCATCCTGCATAGCCTTCAAGGGTTAAATGTAGACTCTTCTAAAACAATAAACATAAATTAAATAGAAAAATCAGCAATGGTAGTTGGCGATTAAAATAGTCGAGAATTGCATCCATGTTTGTGTGACTTGTGAATATAAATATGAAGCATGTGTAACCTAAAGAGAATCACCATTAGAAGAGAACTCAATCATATATAACTTCTCTCTGAGGTATCTCTTTCTTCCTTGAGCTTTAGATTTTTTGTAATTTTTTCGGGTTTTAATTAGTTTACATAAATCTTATATTGATTACTTTTGATATTTGCAGGTTGATCAGATATCAACAGCATGGGTGCAGGTGGTCGGATGTTGGATTCAGCTGAGGGCAAAAATATCCTTGAACGTGTGCCAGTTGATCCGCCCTTCACCTTAAGTGATCTAAAGAAAGCAATCCCAGCTCATTGCTTTGAGCGATCTCTCATCCGTTCATCTTACTATGTTGTTCATGATCTCATTGTTGCCTACGTCTTTTACTTCCTTGCCAACACATATATTCCTCTTCTTCCT